ATAATATTAAGCATGTCTGGGGTAAGATGAAGGAGGAGGCATTGAAGATGAATCTTGATGAGCTCTGGGAGTCCTGCAAGATCGCTTTCTATGTAATTCCAGAAGACTTTATTAATAAGTGATTTGAGTCATAGCAGAGATGTATGGATGCAGTCCTCCAAGCTCATGGGAGTCAGACAAAATATTCATATACTATACATTATTTCTGTTAAGTGACAAGACTTTTGTCTAAGCAAAGTCAGACCTTACTGTCCTAATGAAATCATTAAAAATCAAGACATGATCAAATTTTATTGTGGTAAAATAAGTGTAATCTAGAGGCCTCTGACTTTCATATAAGCCACTTCTACCAAATGATCAACTAGAAGTCAAGTTAGTATTTGTTGTTCCTATAACTTGGATAGGCGACAAGACTTTTGTCAGGTATCTTTGTGGTGATTCAAAGAAAAGTACTCCTTAAATCTGGCATATGAGTGAAAAATAAAAGCAATTGTACTGTTGTATGAGAAGGTTTCTAAGATTGAGGTACTGTTGTCTTTCAGTGAGTGAAGCACCTAAAGAAGCTCCTGTGAGGAAATACCTTCCCTCATCTGTCTATTTAGAGGAGAAAACTGATGAACAGAAGAAAGAGGAGGTATCTATCTATCTATCTATCTATCTATCTATCTATCTATCTATCTATCTATCTATCTATCTATCTATCTATCTATTTATCTATCTATCTATCTATCTATCTGTCTGTCTGTCTCTGTCTGTCTGTCTGTCTGTCTGTCTCTCTGCATCTATGCATACATCGTTCCATCTATCCACCCACAAACCCTTTCTTTCTTTCTTTCTTTCTTCATTACTTTCTTTCATTTACCTTCTGCTTAGTCTCTTTATTCATCAGGGATCACCACAGCAGAATGAACCGCCAACTATTCCAGCATATGTTTTACAATGCGGATGCCCTTCCAACTCCAACCCAGCACTGGAAAATCTTTCTTTCTTCCCTCTTTCTTTCTTTTTTTCTTTCTTTCTTTCTTTCTTTCTTTCTTTCTTTCTTTCTTTCTTTCTTTCTTTCTTTCTTTCTTTCTTTCATTAATTTTCCTTTGGCTTAGTACCTTTATTCATCAGAGGTTGCCACGGTGGAATGAACTGCTAACTTATCCAGCATATGTTTTACGTTTATGTTAAGAGCATGCAAACCAGCTGCAACCCAGTACTGCGAAATCTTTTTTCCCTTCCCTTTTTCTTTCTTTCTTTCTTTCTTTCTTTCTTTCTTTCTTTCTTTCTTTCTTTCTTAATTTGATTTTGTTTATTCATTTGTTCGTCCATCTTTTCTTTCTTTTTTTTCATTCTTTCTCTACATCTGTTGTTTGTTTGTTTGTTCGTTTATTTGTTTGTTAATTTGTCCATCTTTCTTTGTTTCTTTCTCTACATCTGTCCATTCATTGTTTGTTTGTTTGTTCATTCGTCCGTCTGTGCTTCCATGAATGCGTTCATCCATCTTTTTCTTTCTTTCTTTCTTTCTTTCTTTCTTTCTTTCTTTCTTTCCTTCTTTCTTTCTTTCTTTCTTTTCATCATCCATCCATTTGTTTATTTTTTTGTTTATTCATTTGTCTGTCTTTTTTTTCATTTATTTGTTTGTTTGTTTATTTGTTTGTTTGTCCATCTGTCCATCTTTTTCTATTCATTCAATTATTCATTTGTTTGTTCATTCATTTGTTTGTTTATTTTTTGCCCATCTGTCCATATTTCTTTTTCTCTCTTTCTCTTTTTCATTCATTCATTCATTCATTTTCTTGTCAGCTTAGTCCCTTTATTAATTCGGGGTCGCCACAGCGGAATGAACCGCCAACTTATCCAGCAAGTTTTTACGCAGCGGATGCCCTTCCACACACACACACTCATACATTACGGACAATTTAGCCTACCCAATTTACCTGTACCACATGTCTTTGAACTGTGGGGGAAACCGGAGCACCCGGAGGAAACCCACGCGAACACAGGGAGAACATGCAAAAACTCCACACAGAAACGCCAACTAAGCCGAGGCTCGAACAAGCGACTCAGCGACCTTCTTGCTGTGAGGCGACAGCACTACCTACTGTGCCACTGCTTCGCCCTCTTTCTCTTTTTACATCCCAAATTTATTTTTGTTTGTCCGTCTTTTTTTCTTTCTATTTCCATTTTTCCTTCTTTCTTTCTTTCTTTTTTTCTTTCTTTCTTTCTTTCTTTCTTTCTTTCTTTCTTCCATCTGTTCATTTTTCTTTGTCCAGATGCTTTTTCTTTCTCTACGTTCTTTGTTCATTTATTGTTTTTGTTTGTTTGTCTGTCTGTCTGTCTGTTCTTCCATGCATCTGTGTGTCCATCCATCCATCCATCCATCCATTTTCTTTCTTTTTTTCTTTCTTAATCCATCCATCCATTCATCTATCTTCAGTATCTCTCCTTCATTGCTTTATATTTGTCTCAATAGTTGCTCAGTGCAATGGTGGCGAAGCTGGGAAACAGGGAAGATCCTCTGCCACAGGAGTCTTATGAGGGAGTGGATGAAGACGAGTGGGTGAGTGAAGAACAAACACACATACACACACACACACACAATCTGATCAGAATCCTGAGTGTCTGTTTGTGTGTGTTCCAGGACGATTAGCACACAAGCGTTTCCTGATGGTCCAGTCAGGGTGCCAACAGCAGACAGGAGATGATGCTGTCCTGCTGCTTTAAACTTGCCATTCCAGGGTGCCAAAAAACCTCCTAAACGCTTCATCTCTACACTCCTCCATCCATCACATCTCTAACTGGAGTACTAATATCTCCTATTAATCTTTAAACATGACTTTTAATATTCATACGCACAGCTCAGACGTTCATCTCAGATGCATGAAGCACATTTACAGTACGACAGGGTTTTTTCTGTGATGTTTTTACCGATGGCCATCAGTCTCGCACTGCATGAAATCTTTCTGGATGTTGTCACTCATAAAATGAGCACTTAATACCATCACATGTGTGTTTTACATTGATATTGTGCTAATTTGTGGGATTAAATGTTGCCTTCTTTAGGTGTTAGAGATTTTTTTTCTGCTTTAGCAGAGTAAAAATTAAAGCTGTGCTGAAAATCGTTTGAGAAATCGATTCTGAAATTGAGAAAGCATCACTATTCGCTTTTAATCGATTCTGAGCTTAGCTTTTAACTGTGTATCCCGCTAAAGGCTAGTTTTTAATAGCAGATGGAGCTAAAGGCTAGTTTTTAACAGAAGATGGAGCTAAAGGCTAGTTTGTAACAGCAGATGGTGCTAAAGGCTAGTTTTTAACAGCAGATGGAGCTAAAGGCTAGTTTTGAACAGCAGATGGAGCTAAAGGCTAGTTTTGAACAGAAGATGGAGCTAAAGGCTAGTTTGTAACAGCAGATGGTGCTAAAGGCTAGTTTTTAACAGCAGATGGAGCTAAAGGCTAGTTTTGAACAGCAGATGGAGCTAAAGGCTAGTTTTGAACAGAAGATGGAGCTAAAGGCTAGTTTGTAACAGCAGATGGTGCTAAAGGCTAGTTTTTAACAGCAGATGGCGCTCTAGATTTGCATAAAAGGCTAATTTTTTACCAACAGATGGTGTTAAATGTTAGCTTATAATAGCACCTTTTGCTGAAAGCTAATTTTTAACAGCAAAAGGCGCCTAAAGCTAGTTTTTAATAGTTGTCGCTAAAGTGTAGTTTTTAACAACAGATGGCGTTAAATGTTAGCTTATAATAGCACTTTTTGCTAAAAGCTATTTTTAACAGGGGATTGAGCTAAAGGCTAGTTTTTAACAGCAGAAGGCGCTAATAGCTAGTTTTTAATTTTTCTAGTTTTTTTTAGCAGTTGTTGCTAAAGTGTGGTTTTTTATCAACAGATGATGCTGTAAACTAGTCTTTACCAGCAGATGGTGCGGTAGACTTGCACAAAACGCTAGTTTTTAACAACAGATGATGTTAAATGTTTATAAAAGCACTTTTTGCTTAAAGTTAGTTTTTAACAGCAGATAAAGCTAATGGCTAGTTTTTAATAGCAGTTTTCGCAAAAACAATTTTTTCCCTGCTAAAAAAAAACTACCTAAACCAGCCTAAGTTTGTTGGTTTTAGCTGGTCAACCAGGCTGGTTTTAGAGGGATTTTGGCCATTTCCAGGTTGGATTCCAGCCATTTCGAGCCTTGTCATAGATGGTCAATCTGGAAAATGACCAGCTAAAACCAGCTAGACCAGCCTGGACATAGGTGGTTTTGGCTGGGCGTCCAGCCAGTTAGGCTGGTCAAGCTGGTTTTAGCAGGTCATCTCCCAGCCTGACTAGCTAAGACCAGGCCAAGAATGGCTAGAAACCAGCCTGGACTGGCTAAAACCCCTCTAAAACCAGACTGGTCGACCAGTTAAAACCAAACAACTAGCCTAGGCTGATTTAAGCTGTTTTTTTTTTCTCAGCAGGGTTAGCAATAGATGGTGCTCTAGACTAATTTTTAACAGCAGATGATGCTCTAGAGTCTAGACAGCACATGCCGCTCTAGACTATGTCTCTAAACGCTTTTAACAACAGACGGCGCTAAATGTTAGTTTATATTAGCAGTTTTTTACTAAAAGCTCATTTTAACAGCAAATGGAGCTAAAGGCTAGTTTTAACATCAGACTGTGCTCGAGACTATGCACTAAAGGCTATTTTTTAACAACAGAAGGTGCTAAAGACTACTTTTTAATAGCAGTTGTCTAATATAGCGATTTTTAACAGCGGTTAGAGCTAAATGCTAGTTTTTAACAGTAGATGGAGCAAAAGGCTAGTTTATTAACAGCAGACATAGGACACTGTTAAAAACGAGTCTATAGCGCCATCTGCTGATAAAAATACCATTTAGCGCCATCTGCTTTTTAAAACTAGCCTTTAGCACCACCCGAAAGAAAGAATAGTGATGCATTTTGGAAATCTCAGAATGTCGAATTGATTTCTCAACCGATTTGTTTTTCAGCAGAGCTCTGGTAAAGATATTGTTAAAGGAAAGACACTGCAGATGAACCATCTAGAAGCTAATAGTTACCACCGTGCTTCCGGAGTTGATTGATTACATAAAGAACTGCAAACAATTGTTGTATTACAAGTTTTCTATGAGGCTATGTCTGTATATGCAAATAAGGAATTAATTAAATAAACATGCATACATTTAAAGCACAATCATTGGATGAATTCAGGTTTAATTTACTTGGCAGATTGAAGTTAAAGGTTTTGCCAAGGGGGTTTTGGGAATGTCTTTGTATCACTAATAATGCTAACAAAAATGTTGTAGGATAAAATATAATCAGGCTAATCAATTATGAACATTAATAAACAACAGGCATGAAAATAACTGTAACAAGCTGCATTTATAACCAAAAAATCTTTAAGAATATGCATTGTACCTTAATCTACCGATAACTGATACAGTGTGACAAAAGTATGCCTTAGTTTGATGTTTCTTTACATTAGTATGACAAAGATTTAAATATAACCTGCAGTGTCTTAATATGTCTGAACTTTTAAAAGCGAAAGCGTCTGTTTAAATCTAAATGAATGATCTGGGAACTGTTTTTACACTCCTTTTTAAAATGGCAAATACACTACCTGACAAAAGTCTTGTTGCTTATCCAAGTTTTAGGAACAACAAATGATAACTTGATCATTTGGTATCAGAAGTCACTTATATGAAAGGCAAAGACTTTGACTCCCAGAGTTCATCAAGAGTTTTTGGATTCATCTTCGATGCCCCCTCCTTCATCTCACCCCAGACATGCTCAATAATGTTCACTTCTGGTGACTGTGCTGGCCAATCTTGGAGCACCTTGGTCTTCTTTGCTTTCAGGAACTTTAATGTGGAGGCTGAAGTATGAGATGGAGCGCTATCCTGCTGAAGAGTTTGCCCTCTCCTGTGGTTTGTAATGTAACTGGCTGCACAAATGTCTTGATACCTCAGCGGTTCACTCTGCAGATCTCTCGCACACCCCCATACTGAATGTAACCCCAAACCATGATTTTTATTTCACCAAACTTGACTAATTTCAGTGAGAATTTTGGGTCTATGCGGGTTCCAATAGGTCTTCTGCACTTTTTGTGATGATTAGGATGCAGTTCAACAGGCAATTCAGAAGAAAAATCTGCCACTTTTCCAAATAATCAACTAGAAGTCATTATAATTTGTTGCTTTTGCAATTGGGATCCACCACAAGACTTTTGTCAGGTAGGCTACTCACTCTGTGTGTTTGCTTCTGCTTATGCTCACCAACAGTATTAACACAAATCTACTTCACAAGGGTTTTTCCTCCTAATCAGGTCTATCATGAGGCAATATAATGTTTTTTATTGTTATTAATAGAACATGTTTACATATGCCAGGAAAGGACTCTTGTTCTGCATGTTATGGTATGGCGTGACCTCCTGTGCTTGACATGTGACCATGTGTTCTCGTATATATGAGCGGTAGGTGTTTATAGATGTTGTAATGATCTGCTAAGTGTTTTTAATCAGTGGGATAATTTTGGTATCAATCTTGATGTTTTTTGGGGAATGAATTTTTCACAGACATGTTAATTGTGTTCATTTTAATACTTTATGGGCAATAATGTTTTTCACTTTTCTTCTGAATGGAGCCAGTCTTGTGGGAATGTACAACCTCAAAATAAAAGCCTGGAAAGCTGAGACGGGTGGAATTGGTGTTTTGTTGATTTTTTTTTCACTTGCTTTGTTTTATTTATTTTGTTGTTCTGTTTTATTTCATTTTTTTTTGTCTTGTTGTTTTGTTTTATTATTGTTTTTTTGTCTTGTTTTTTTTGTTTTATTGTTTTGTTTCATTTTTTGTTTTGTTTTATTTCGTTTGTTTTTGTTTTGTTTTACTATTGTTTTGTTTTGTTTCATTGTTTTGTTTGTTTTTCGTTTTGTTTTTTGTTTTGTTTTATTTAGTTTGTTTTTGTTTTGTTTTATTGTTTGGTTTAGTTTTTTGTCTTGTTTTGTTAGTTTTTTGTTTTG